AAGATGACACGTTGGTCATCTTCAACCTCCAGCCAATGTGAATTGCAGGTCTCTCAAACTGTAAAATTAGAAGCTCAGACCTATGTCATTCGCTTCGTCTCTTCAAGACGAAGACAACCACACATTCGCGACAAATTTATATAAACTATAGCTCAAGCAATTTGAAAGGAAAGTTTTGAAAAGGGATTTGAAATTTCATGGTCAAAACAAGTTTCCAGATGAAAATAAGTGTTGTGACTAGAACCAGGGCAATGAGAGCATCACAATGGTATCAAAGTTTTGAAGAATTGATGAAGGAATCTACCTATTAAAGTTGAGTTGCAGAGCTCTGAAACTAGACTTCTATGGAGCAATATAGGGTACGATTCTTGAATGTAATTATATGGTTAGCTTCGGGGAAGATCAAGAAAGGTGAATTGATAGAAAAATTGGATTGAAAAAGGCTTGAAAACATATTTCGAAGTAGCCGAATTTTGAGTTATCGAACAAGTTTGGCAGGGTGATTCTGGCTATCCAAGCTTGAGGAAATGAATGGGGGATGACTCTCTATTTATAGGTAATCAAATGGAATGTCCAAGCGTGTGAAATGATGAAGTTTGGAGGGAAATCGTGTGAAGTTGCAAACAAGAAAAGTGTGACCTCTACTTTGATCAAAACACATCCAAAGCGCGCGTTTTGTTATGCTAATCCCTTCTGGAAGTTCACTAAACATGTTTAGAAGCAAAAACGCGCAGAATCAAAGTGTTTAGAAGCTAAACCAATTATTTCAAATTCTGACTTTTGAAGAAACTTCAGTTCCAAGTTACCAAGTTCAAATCAATGGCATTCTCAGCTCAAGAGGTCTTAGGTCATGATTCTAGATGCTTTAAAAAGATGAGGTTACAAGCTTTGCAATGAAAAAATAATGGAATCAAATGGATGCTTGAGTTGAAAGTTGTATTGAGTCAAAGTTGGAGAAAAAGGGTTGACTTTCCATACTTAGAAATATTTCAAATTTTTCTTCAAAAGTGACCTATAATGTTTTACATCCAAACATGGCCTTCCACTTGGAATTTGATCTTGACCAAAAAAGATGGCATGAAATAGGCCTCTTGAATGACATTTTTAAACTTGAACCATTTAAAATCTCCAAAAAATTGAGAGAGTTATGAATTATTGAAGTTGGCAAAAAATCATGAAATGACCTATAATCTTTTGTATCCTTAGAGCATATTCCATCCATTTTCTCACTTTGCACATAAACGAAGGCATAAAATTCACATCCTCAATATCATTGTGGAAAAATAATAGGCTCAAGGTGATAAAATTGGTCAAGTTATGATCATTTGAAGTGACACATGAGAAATTGGGGGTTCATCTAGAGGACTTGTAATCTTTCTTCATCATCAAGTTTCTTCCACATGAAAACTCCTTGAAACTTTTGAAGCGATTTGTTGATAACCCCTTGAAGAGAATGATGTCTTTGGAATCACTCAAAAATACCAAAAGATGAGCAAGATATACTTCTTTGAAATTCAAAACCTTAGCTCCTAAATCAAGAAAATGCTTTGAGGAACTTTGATAATTTTGAACAAACTTCTTGTACCAACACAAATGCTTTGTAAATAGAAGATGCTGAGGATGAAAATGAGAACTCATACCCACCAAAACCACTTCCATATCTTGAGAATTGAGATAAATATGCATTTATGACCAATGAGAACAAGACCTTGTCCAAGCATGACAACTTCTTCAATCAACCACTTGTGCTTTTGAATCAATCTTGATAACCTTGAAATGTGGTGAACCAAAATAAATTTGCCATGTCATTTCTTCCAAAAACAAATCTAATGGTGAGGTTTGAACTTTTCAAGCTTTATTGACTAAGGCATGGAAATAAACTCATAAATCCATGGAGCAACTTGCTAAATCTCATTGCCTTTACCTACATTAGTAACAAGCAAGACAAACCAACATTGCATTTTATTAATTAAAAGAAGAAATCAAGACAAAAATATTCATGACCACAAAAGAAAACAAGTCAAGGTACTTGGTGATTCCTCAAAGAGCAAAGCTAAAGATGGGGAGGGGAACCAAGAATCCTAATGTGATCTTGTTGTGATGGAATCAACATGGTATGATGAGGGGATCTTAGGGGGGAAAATTGGGGTACAACAGATATGGTTGATAACGAATGTGAGCTGGTACATTATGCTTTCTATGCAGATGTAGAACCTATTAATGCAACTGAAGCATTGAAAGATTCAAAGTGGTTGAAAGCAATGAACGAAGAAGTGAAGTCAATCGAAGACAACAACACTTGGTCACTTATCGAATTGCCTCAAAGAAAGAAGGAAATTAATGTCAAGTGTGTATACAAAGTGAAGAAGAATCCCAAAGGGGAAATAAATCGACACAAAGCAAGACTCGTGATGAAAGGATTTCTCCAGAAAGAAGGAATTGACTTCGATAAAGTTTTTGCACCTGTGACTAGGATCAAAACAATCAGGTTGGTTGTTGGTATAGCAGAAATGAATAGTTGGCACATATGTCAGATGGACGTAAAGTGTGCATTCCTGAATGGACCCTTAGACAAAGAAGTTTATGTTAAACAACCAGTTGCGTTTGTGAAGCATAGCAAAGAGAGAAAGGTGTATAGGCTGCATAAAGCCCTGTGTGGATTGAAGCAAGCTCCAAGAGCTTGGAATAAGAACATAGATAGCTTTCTAAAGGAGAAGGATTTTTTGTTCACAACTGAACATGGAGTATATGTAAGAAGAAGCAATAGTGAATTGCTTATACTATATCTCTATATAGATGATTTGTTGATAACAGTTAGCTGCAAAAGTGAGATCGAAGACTTCAAAAGTGATCTCAGTAAGGAATTTGAAATGTCTGATTTGGGTGACATTTCATATTTTCTTGGAATCGAATTCTACAAGAGAAGTAGAGGATTGATGATGCATCAAATAAGATATACAGGAGAAATTCTTAAGAGGTCTGAGATGGAAGAATGCAACTCGACTTTGACACCTACTAAACCAAGGTTGCAACTATCGAAAGATGTAAATAAAGATGATGTCGGCCCAACCTAATAGCAAACACTTATTGGGTTATTGAGATACATTTGTCATACAAGACCTGACTTAGCATACATTGTAGGTATGTTAAATACATTCATGCAGAAGCCAAAGGTATCACACCTAGCACCGACGAAGAGAATATTGAGGCATCTGAAAGGAACTCTTGACTATGGAATTTTGTTTCCTACAGTTGATTAAAGAAAAGAATGCAAGTTAGTGGGATACACTGATTCAAGTTGGTATAGTGATACTGAGGATCGAAAATCTACAGCAGGATATGTGTTTATGCTAGGTGTTGCACCAGTTGCTTGGAGGTTCCCTTATCTGATAGCACGTGGTCGAAACAAGCACATTGAAATGAGATTCCATTATCTTCGAGAGTGGGTAGCAGATGGGAAGATGAACTTGGAACACTGCAAAACTGAGAACCAGATTGCAGACATCATGACGAAGGATGTGCAGGTCGAATTGTTCAGAAGACTAAGAGTTGTGATGAATATATATAGCTTAGAAATAATGAATTAGGTGGTGTGTTGAAAATATAATTCCTTGTGTCGAAGCAACTTGCTCGATAGAAAACAAGGAAGTGTCGAAGTGTGGAAACAGCTTGTTACACATAGATTTGATTTAGATTTAAAATAGATAGATTTGAGAGCTTTTATAGTTTTGGGCTTTTGGCTTATAGAGCAAGCTAACCTAAATCTATAAATAGCGGGAGTAACCCCTATTTTTGTAATCAAGTTGTATTCATAAAATTTGCAATTGCAAGTGAATAAAAAGTTTTTCACAGTTTGTGGGCAGAGAGAAACTCTGTAGAAAATCATTGTCTTTCTTTCTTTCATATTTTTCATCGTTATTGTGTGGTGATAACAATCTTGTTCAACAAGATTGATAGGAATTCATCATGGGAATTGGTGGATTTCCAACGATATACACATAAAAAATTAAAAATGTGACATTTTACGCTATTTTTTAACAATCTTTTTTCCAAGTGTGACATTGGTGTCAAAGAAAATTTTTATTTTTACTCTTGTAATGATTATTTTCAACTCATCGTGTTTTTCTCACACTTAAAGTGTGATATATACTATCCCCATTTCAAAATGATTCTCGTTTAAGATTTTTGCACACTAATTAAAAAAATACAATGATATTGTCATAAAATATTCCACTTTTACCAAACTAACTTTATTACTCCCTCCGTTTCAAAATATATCGTTTAAAGTTTAAGATTTTTGCACACAGATTAAGGAATACAATAATATTGTCATTAAGACATTATACTTTTACAAAACTACTCATATTAATGTATTAGAAGTAGTGTACAATAGAGAATAAAAAGTAAATGGTACAATTGAAAAACTAGCAATCATTACTACATTAAAAAGTGAAAATGACAGTCATTTTGAAACAAAATTTATTTGCTAAAACGACAGTCATTTTGAAATGGAGAGAGTAATGTATTGGAAGAAGTGTAAAAAGTAATAATTAAATACCACAATTAGAAAAATAAAAATGATTTATACATTGAAAATTAATAATTACAATCATTTTAAAACGAAAGAGTACATCAGTCATTCATTTCATAATATAAAGCAGTAGCACTGCCATGAGAGTTATACCAGGTAAATCTTCCAAAAAACTGCTATACAATAAAATGATATTCCCTTGTACTTGTATAGATGAAGATTTGTAAATGTTACTACAGAATTTACAAATGGTATAACAAAATTACTAAACTACAATAATTCTTAAGCCTTTGTAAACAAGGTTTCATATCAGCAAACTAGTCCTATTAGCGGTACATAGGGCAAAACTTTAATATGTACTGAGCATGTGTGTGTGCTCCATTCATCATCATATCTTCAAATGAAGTTGCATCCACCATGCATGAGTAAATATTACATGAACAATTTAATTCAAATCTAGTGTCCATTCTCAATGCTTATAAAACTTCAAATCTCGGCTACAATTGGCTTTCAGTGTATCCTCCAATTTCTCAGCTTGGTCAAACTCAACTTTAAAAGTAACCATGGATATGTCATCTTTACCTGTATCATAATCCTGCTTCATGTCTTCCACATTAAAAGACTGCAGCTGAAAATGACATTACCAATGAGCATAAGATAAGATTCATATACATTTAACAGAAACACATAACTTAACTATACAACTCTTGCAATTACAGCTTAAATATTAAATATGAATATCCAAATACATAATTGAGATAATCTTACACTTCTTCTCATCAGACTCTTTTATTATCCTACCATATTCATAATCAGGGAATCATCAATATAAATATGCAAGAACAAACCTGATGGTAGAGCACTCCAAGTAAGTCAAATGGGACTTCTACACCCATTGGCACCTACATATTTCATAATTTTGTTCATTAATTCACACCATAAGCATTACTAGTTTGAAAAACCTTCAAGGAAGTGAAGTTCTAGATATAGACAAAACCAAAGATGCAATACAGGCTAAGAAATGAACCACCTTTGTTTTAACAAGGCAAGTCGGAGCATTCTTCAGACATTCTGATGCAACTCCTCCATAAGCCCTGACCAATCCTCCAGCGCCTAGTTTGATACCACCAAAGTGCCTGAGATTCAATATAGATCACGAATACAAATAATGCTCAAAATCCAATATCAAAGGATGAACTGCTTAACACTTAAAATGTACAAAATGATCCACAAACATACATTCTGCAGTTACTTTGTCGAGGAATAAAAATAAACTGAGTTGATATTGAACTCATACAAACCATCAGAATTCAGTAGCTCAAACTAATTGACATTAACATACATATATGAAATAATTGAAATGTTAAAGTAAGGTTGTTAAAGTATTAACCTGATTACAACCACCATTACTCTATCTATTCCTGAAGTAGAAATAGCAGAATATATTGGTTTCCCAGCCGTACCTGAAGGTTCACCGTCATCATTGGACCGATATTGATCCCCCACCTGTTGAACAAAAGATAAGGTAAGCAGTCTGCAGAAGTAGTAGCAACTCATTAGTAACATTATACACTATATTTTTCTAGCTTCAATTGTACTATGCCTCTCCTATGTTCCAATCCAATCAAAAAAATTAAAACCATCTAGTAAAAGATACAACTGGTGAGTCGAGACTAAGAGCATTTATGATAGAGGATACTATTAGAGGTTCTTAATTCCAAAATACACATCTCTTATTCTGTGTTTCAACCTATTTAACATAAAGCGAAAAGGAAAATGTGTCTTTAAAATTGCGAACATCGATCAAAATAGTTCTAATTATGCGAATTGGTAAATTCATCCTTAAAATTATAACATGTTCACCAAAATGGTCCTCCATTAATTTTTGGTCCTTAAAGACTATGTCATGGCATACTATATGAACTTTGTTTCCCAATAAATGTTATATTAAAAGTAACATTTAGCCTAACATCATTAGTACATTCTCCCCACTGCCTATGAGGGGTTTGAGAGGAAACATAATCATGTGCTATAACTAAATGTAAGAAAAAGTACACCAAATTCAAAAGACAATAGAACTCTACTTTGACCTGTAGAACACTACACCAAAGAAAACACCCACTGCATAACAAATTACAGCGAGCAACATTAATTTGCACGCCCCTTCATTCAACAGAAAATTAAGTACAACACCTAAGTGTTTCATGCCCATAGGATATCACCAAGCATTACACTCTTCTTTGGCAAACCATCCCTCATGAAGACTCCACTCCATAAAGGGCACATATGCAGTTCCTTCACACTCTGGTTATGGCCGTAGCAGATCCTCATTCTCTACCTTATTAACACCAAGACAATAAAGGTAGCAGCATCACAAGGACATTACCACCATATAACCGTAGAATCTTACTTCATAAAGCACTATTTATGAGAAGGAAGCACTGTTGAAGCATTTACGCAGTCTAATTTATAGCATATTAACAGCACTAAAGTATGGTAAATAATATGCATGAGGCTCAAAAATTAGATGCTAAAAAATTATGAACCATGATCCATTTTAGAGACCATCAAATACTATTCTAATTGCATAACACTATGCCTACCTGCAGAAAATTAAACACAACCAAATTAATTCAAGACCAAATACTTAGATACACCTCAACTTACACTCCAATAATTTCATCCAGCACCAATGATTAGCCTAATGCAGCACAATCACACATCATTTAACGCAATAAATACACACCACTACCAATACAAATTGTCAAATTTATTATCTGCATAATTCCGTATCAGCGCCAAATTACCCCATTTCCCTTCCTTTTCCAAAGCATCCACGAGACTGTTTGCCTCTTGACAAACGTGGACAAAAAGAGACCAGTGCCAGCACCAGTAACAGATTCTTCAGTTTGTAGCTATAAAATCTCAGCTTCCAAGGAGACAGGAATCCAATTTATTCGCCCATACTATACCATTTCTTGAATCAGAATCAACTATTATTTCTGCATGGAACTCATCCTCATTATCATTGCCATATTACTCAAGATTCAAACATGTTAGATAATTTTTTTCCTCATTAATTTTATATGCAATTTATTCACAAGGCATTGATACACTGTCCATGTGGAACACCAACGGTTGGCCTCTAACAACATAAGTTTTCTTCTCTGTGGTTCTGAAGAGCCTAGTGGCGAATTCACACACATTAATGTCCAGAAATAGGGAATTCTGAGTTTGAAGTGTTATCTACTATCTTATGAAATATTTGTTATATTGAAGTGTTATAATTTCATATATTTTTGTCTGTAAGTGAAATGGTAATAATCACTAGAAACTCACACACACGACTGTGAATACCAGGTTTTGAACTCTGGTGATGACGTCCAACCAAGTAATATCTGTTTTCTGCCGGTTGAGTTAGGATTGCGAAGTAGTTTCAATTTACATTTGCTATCTTATGAACTAGTATTTTGATAATACACAATTTCGAAGATCAATTTACATATTCATCAATAATTAAAATTTAAAAATAAAAATAAAAACATTTACGATACCTTATAAGCCCAGCAATTATGAGTAGCTTTTGGATCCCGAACCTGAAAATAACCAAATTGAAAAAAATGATCAATTTATTCACTAAAGTTAGAAATTTTAAAATTGAATTGAGGAAATGATTGAGCGTAAATGGAACTAACCTGAGAAAGGAAAGACATGGCGGATTTGTCGTCGGAGACGGAGCCAGCAATGGCGATGAACTTGCTTTTCTTTATGTCTTTCTGGAAAGTGACTCTCTCTTTGATTGTTGTGAATTCACCCGAATTGTTACTGCTGCTGCTGCTCGCCATTGTGCTTGTTTTGAGTTTGGCGATGGCGAAGAGTGAAGCGTAGATGCGGTGGTGGCGGTGGTAACTGGGTATCGTTGTTGTTGCTACATGCATCTCTCAACATTCTCCTCTTCCCAAATAATAATGTTAGTTAATGTATTTATTTATTGGTATATGTTTTATTTTTATTTTTTATAGATAACTAGTCGATAACCCGTGCTGTCGCACGGGGCCGGTCGAGAATTCATAAAACGTGGAACTAATGTTGTCATGTAACAGTAAATTCGTTTTTATGTAATTCAATAAAAGTTCATCTAATTCGGCCAAATTTAGTGTATCAAACTTATTTGACAACATTAAAAAATGTAAACTGAAATCATGATTGTGTAACAAAATAAGAAACTGTGATGACTCTTCAAAATAAGAAACTATCATGAGTCTTCAGATACAACGCAACCAGCTTGGAAACGATGTTTTCAACTTTTTGACCTGCACAATAAATTATGCAAAAATTAGACAGCATTTACAGAAACAATTTATATTAAAGAAATTATTTGTTATTATGTACTTACCAATCAACAAAGAGATTGGAAAACTTCTTTGTATACAACATTTGTAGTGATAGATGTTGATACATTCATACTATCATGTATTAAGATCTTTAGACCACTTTTGCTTGTAACTCTTGAAATGGCTACATACAACTGGCCATGACTGAATACAGGAGTAGGCAAATACAATCCAACTGTATCAAGTGATTGGCCTTGAGACTTATTAATTGTCATTGCGTACGACACAATAATTGGGAACTGTCTCCTAATCAACTTAAATGGCCACGGTGACTCGGAAGGTGACATAGACATTCGATGGATGAAAAAGATGTTACCAACATTCTTACCAGACATGATCTTTGCCTCAATAACGTGATTTGCCATCCTTGTAACAATTAGTCTAGTTCTGTTACACAAACCATCGTTTTGGTCCAAATTCCTCATAAGCATTATTGGTGTACCAACCTTTAATCTGAGTTTGTGATTTGGGACACCTGAAGTCCTAAGCTTGCTAAGAAATTCTGGAGTAAGACATTCATAGGCTTCGGTGTAACTTGAATCAGTTCTATCAATCGAATCAAAACTCAAATACTCTTTGTCCTCACCTAAGAAATGGGAAAATGCGAATCAATCCATAATGTTTTTTCAAGAATAATTTAATAACGAAACATCTACACGAAAATAAATATCAAAAGAAAAAAGAGTTTACCCGGTATCATGTCTAACACGTAATGATTAATTTTATCAACAACTTCAATGGTTGAAGCAAGTATTGCTTTTCCTTGTAGAAATTCTACATTTTGAAAGTCGGCAAGCAAATTTGGGTATGTGCTTTCAACTATAGCTCTTATTGGATCCTCAAAATTGGAAATTAACAAATCCGGAGGAATTTCTATATCAGCTAATCCATCGTTAGGTTCACATATTTTACCGTCGCCAACATTTAATATCCATTTAGAGAATTCTGCAAGTTCATCAGAAGTTGTAACGTCCCTCCCATTCTTTAGTCTCATGTTTTTGGTTAGTGTTAAGACTTGGCAATAGTCCCACACATAAGAAGAACAAATGGAAGCATGAACAATATCAGAACGGCCTGCTCTTGGAACAACTGGAAGTATCTGTCGAAAATCTCCTCCAAATATAACTACCTTGCCACCAAAAATTGTATTTGCAAAACCCTTATCGCTCATGACATCCTTAAGGGTCTTATCCAAGGCCTCAAAACAATTCTTATGAGCCATGGGTGCTTCGTCCCATATTATGACATCAGTACCTTCGAATAACTGTGAATGCTCAGAGTCTTTGTCAACATTGCAAGTAGAGTTGTCAAGCGTTGGAATGGGAATTTTGAACTTCGAATGGGCTGTTCTACCACCTGGCAATAATAAGGAAGCTATGCCACTTGAAGCAACAGCCAGAACAATTTTTTTATCTGAACGAAGTGCACTTGATAATGTCCTCCACATAAACGTTTTACCGGTTCCGCCGTATCCATGTAAAAAAACACCCCTCCGTTTTGTTTCTTGACGGCGTCCATTGTGGTTTCAAAGATTGCACGTTGCTCATCTTGACGTTCAAATGAAAAGAATCAATACAACAGTAGTTTAATGAAAACATCGATGATTTGAATAATGAGGAAATACCTGTTAGAGATGAAAATAGATTCTGGAAGTTTTGTCGCTCTAAATCAGCATCGTAATCACGTTCATCAAAAATCAGTCTATTGCCGACATGTCGCGTTATATACAAATCTGGAAACGGAATATCTTTGAATTCACGCAAGCTTCTTCTATTTGATTGCATCATATTCTCAATCTCAATTAATGTGAGGTTTGTCAGTTCTGCCGTTGACAATTGCATGTCTTCCAACACAAATACAAACCAAAAGAAAATATAACTATTTTGTACAATAGAAATCACAGTGTTGATGAAGATAGACATGCAAAAGGATCGTTAACCTTAAAATGGCAGTATCATGGAAAAGTTCAGTATAATGCAAGAGCATCAGACATTCGGGTTCATTAAAAATGTTATGTTTTTGATCAGTAGCTGTGACAAAAGGTGGTTGAAGGTAAAAGATAAATCACAGAATTATTCTGTTCTGTGTTGATGGTGAGTAATATCAGATTGCATTAGATATTTTTATTACTGATGAAATGGCAGCATTGAAAGGACTTGCTTACTGGAACTTATGATTCTTTGAAAGGGCAGCATTGAAAGGTGTTGTTGAATGGAAATGATGGGAACCAGTTTGGTAACAATTGAAATTCTTAAGTTAAGACCCTATCTACATGAGTTGAAATTACATTACGACAATGAGAACTTGTCAAAAGACTTAAGTATGGTTTGAACTGTATGATATGTAACATATATATGGAAGTATAAAAGGATTGAAATTATTGCATCCAAAGTAGTCTAAAAGGTATTATAAGAAGAAAAACTCATTATAATAGTTTCGTACGGTTTGTAATTGTATGAAATTTAACAGAAGTATTTAGGTATTTGTTAAGTGTACCTCTTATTCCAGTGACAATTCTCTGTTGATGAAGAATACCGTCAGATAGCAACTTCCAAGTCTGTTGCCAAACATGTCGCGGCCGATTAACAGTACCAGACAACAGCATCGTGACAAATAGCTTCCTCAAAAAATTACCGGAACCCCAATCTTTGGCCTCATTTATGGCTGCAACATATTCTTTGTCGTCGTTAAGAAATCCCATCTCAAAGCATGCATCTCTAAAACTGTCGCGGACGACTCCACCAACCTTTTTTATATCGTCATAGCAAGTCGGTCCCTTGACAACCGTCAACATCATTCTAAGGTAATAGAGCTCACCAGTGCTTGGAGGAACCCAAATTAACCGGCTAATCGTACGACCTCTTTTTCGAGGTCTCTATAAATAGTACCTTTTATCGTAAACGAACTTGGAAAGAAACGCAGTGTATGTTAAAGTCTTTGTATCTTCGTATTTTTTGTTTGACTCCATCCAAGCTGTAAACATTGATTCCTTTACAGTTGGTTTTTCAAGAACATTGTCTATGAAATCATAGTCAGTGTAGTAAACCGGATTTTCGCCTTCCAGATGAAAATACAACCTTTCGACTGAAGGAGATCTACCATGGATAGGATATGAAAAAATCCTCCAACACGCCTCACTGGGGGAAACGTACCTGCAATCAAGGTACTGTTTGATTTCATCAACATCTGTACCAAATGAACTTCCGTCTGATTCGGTCCGAACAACCGCTGCAGTTATTCTATCGTAACCTTTGTTAATATACTTGAATAAGTACTTGACAGAAGTACCTTGGTTACACCATTCCATATTAATGTGCGCCTGATATTTCTTTAGAAGATATGCATTATAAGGAACTACATACCTATTATCAAGAACAATACTTTTTTCAGAACAGTAATGCCAGTATCCCTTCTCCTATAGACGGGATAGCCATCTTGATCGACAATGGTTTGAGGCTGCCAATTTTTGGGAAAGAATTTAGAGCATTTACCATTTTTCATGCAAGGGGAAGATCTGTTAGCCAACCCACATGGACCATGAATCATATGTGTCTTTACCAAATGATTTAATTGTTTATCATCCTTTTCTGCCGGTATTTCTGCTGAAATAATGTTGTTGATGTCATCCGGAGTGGGAAACTTGTTCTGGGGATGCATGAAAAGTAAAATGTGTGCATGGGGCAAACCTCTCTTTTGGAACTCAATGGTGTATATATCTGGAAGAAATTAAAATACAGTAAAACATTAATTTAAAATCATTGGTATAGAATAGGGAAGAATTAAGTATTACATATTTAATTTCATGTGGCTCACATGCAACAACTCTGCCCAAGACATGCTTCTTTGTTATATCATACAGTAATTCGTCAAACTTCATTTTAAAAACCCTTGAGATTATATCAGGACGATCTTGAGGTTGTAATTTCATGTTGTTAAGAAACCTCTGAATCTCTGGCCAACATGGATTGCAAGTAAAGGTAATGAATAGATCGGGAAATCCAATTTGACTACAAATTGCCATTCCATCAAAGTATAATTGTTCCATGTATCTGCGACTTCCAACGTATGTTGACGGCAACACCACTATTTTTCCTTTGTGGGCTCCTTCATTTGAAGATTGTTGGTGTACTCCTGACAAATTGGAGTATTTGGATACTCGTAATTTTTTTTGATGCTTACGTATGTAATTGAGTCGCTGTGACTCCATCATAGTGAATCCATCAACCAAAAATTGCTGAAACAATCTCCTTGACCTGAGCAGTGTGTGAGCTTCACGTTGTCTGGTCTGAATGCGAAAGGCCAGCCATTCTCTAATAGTAAGTTTGTTCATCTTTCCTTTTTTTTTGGGGAACTGTCTCTCTGTGTAGAACACCAAGTCTAAATCCATCTTCCCCGTACGGAAACAGAAGTGGATATTGTAATGCAAGATAGCTCGGATGAAACTCACTTATTCGTTTTAGTCTACCACTTTGTCTTTCAAGGATAATATCCCTTTTTGAGCCTGTATCAACATCACCAACAATGAGGGCTGCAACCTCAGACAC